CATCCATCCATCCATCCATCCATCCATCCATTCATTCTTTCACATGTTTTTTTTTTCATGTATTGGCTTTGCGGTCTTGTCTATGATTTGACGAGACTAGTACGACCCATTTTCTGCTCTTATTTTACACTGCAAGTAATGCTCAAGAAAAGTAATAATTCTTTTTTTACGACCGCCTAGGCTAAAATGAACCTTTGTTGAACGACCATTTTCAAATCACAATAACATTATAACCCTTTATTTAACGAACAGGTAATGGTCGACAAACAAAGGTTCGCTATACTTGTGATTTTGTAAGAGTGATTTAATTTTACCGGAATAATCTTGACAAACTAAGCATTAATAGTAGGTGAGGAGGCTTAAACGTGTTAAAGAGGATCGATTGATCCTGCTGCAAGGCACCTAATCCCACTGTCATTAGTTCACTTCCTAACACGAATTTAAGTTGTGTTTAATGACTTGCATCCTGTAGTGGTGATTATACCATTAGATCTGCTAATACAGATGCCCTTTGGCAAACTGTAGAACGAGCCGTAAGTGCGTCCTAATGTAAAGACACCACCAAGATCGTTTATTCTCTTTGACGTAAAACACAACCATGAATCAACAGAAAATTGAGTTAAATGCAAATAAAGAACAACATAATTAGAAAATCCTACTAATTTTTGACAGGCAAGAAATACAACTTGAAAGCTTCAGGTGTGAATGGAAAAAGAACCGGCAATTTATATGAAGATAAAAATAAATTCCAGCTTGTCGCGAGAAATGAGGAATCATTACTTGTTTCAGCGTCGATAGAAGTGCAGGCAGTAATTCAAAGCTGGACAGGCTCAGTTTCGAAAGGAAGAAATTTGGCTACTCTTTATCTTGCTTGGCACCGTTTTGTCCCAATTTTGACGAGTGAATGGTTTAATTTTGAAAATCTCATACTATGAAATATTGACAGAATAATCAAGTTGGCAAATATTTGACAGCAAGAGACTTCAACAATCTGCTGTCTCTGGATATAGGTTTGGATTGATTGAATAAATTCTAATCTCAAGAAACAAGGTTTTTTCGCGTGCAACGATAATTCTAAAATCATAGATAGCTTATTTGTGAAAAAGGTTGGGATAAATTGCATTAAATAGTAAAACCTAAGAACCAAATAATCAGTCTTTTTACGAGGTTTTTTTATCGCCCTAGTCAATCAAAAATATTGATGTATTTATAAGCGGATGATAGACGCCTTATTGTCTGGTAAACGGTTATTAAACTAAAACCCATTAGAGAAAATAAAAGCCATGTATATGTTGTAAGTTTATTGTTGTGGTCGGTATTTCATCCCAAGATAGAAAGAAGACATAAATGAGAAACTATATCATAAAACTTGAGGTTGATTTTGGTTCTAGCATCTATAAGGGATTCATTGGAAAACTATAACGTTTAAGTGCTGAAACGATGGCGCCTTTTTTGACCGGTAAACTATTCGGAAACCCCTTGGCTATGTACTAGAAACTGTGAAATTAATGTGAAAAACCAATGTTAGATAGTACGGCTAATATTTAAAACGTTTCGAAGTTGTTTGTCTTTTCCAAGCTTATCTGTATGCTCGAGTACCAGTCAAACAGTCACCCTATGAACACCACAAAATACCAACATACAAAACCATGTATAAAATGAATGGAAACTCCGCAAGATAAGAGATAATTTTACCGCAACTACATGCACAGTCAATTCACAGTAATGTGCCAGATGAACTTGCAGCCAGAATGGCCGGCGAGGACGAGAGCATTTCAACATTGACCTGCTCTGAAGTTTGCCTACATTTAACACTCCATGCTTCTTATATTAGTTTCAGGAAGAGAAATGTACTGAAATGAAGGTGGTTTCTCTGGAGATTTGATAGTCAGGATTCTGTTGTTGAGTGTAGGAAAACAGGTGCCTGACAAAATGAATGATTTACTTCACTAACTACAGGAAAACGAAGTTATTGAATAAAATACTCTTTAGATAATCAGTAGCAATTATATCAATAAAAGTTTGCAAAAATTGTATTTAAAGTTTGTACAAATATAACTTTACAAACCTCAGTAATCTGCTTTTTTTTTTTTTTTTTTTTTTTTTTTTTTTTTTATTATTTTTATTATTATTATTATGGTTATACATTAGTAGATATATTTTTATTATCGTATATTTTATTATAGTTTTCCTTTTTTACTTTTTTAATATTATTATAAATAAATATATATTTTATTGTAGGATATATGAAGAGATAATCTATACGTCGTATATATCTATATAGATACCAAATACAATTTTTTTCTTAGTGAAAAATTAATGTAGAAGTATTNTTTTTTTTTTTTTTTTTTTTTTTTTTTTTTGTACTAGAGTAATCTTGAGTGCCCTTTTGACTTTTTTGGAAGTTTTTTTTTTCTTTTTAATTTGTTTTATTGCTTTTACTGTATTTGATATCTGTTTTACTAGCATTCTCGCGATGTTTGTATTATTTTCAAAGACCCCACCAAAGCCATGCTGCTGCTCATGTGTACTACAAAGGTGCATGAGAAAAACTGAATGGTATCGATACTGTCGCCTCCCTGGGAAGACGTATTCGTTTGGTCAACATAAGCATTTGCCCAGTCAAATTTTCTGATCCGCTTAGACAATTACATATGACTTCGAAATGGCTTCCTTTAATCTTTCCTCTTGGTATGACTCCGAAATGGCTTCTGTTTCGTTGGCTCTCTTCGATTTCCAATACAGAGTGCATATGACATTGAAATGGCTTTTTGCGTTTGACACCAAAATGGCTTCCGTCTCGTTGGCTCTATTCGAATTCCAGTCACAATGAATGACGATAACACAGATTGGCATATGACAACTGAAATGGTTTCCTTTCCTCTTGCGGCATGACACCGAAATGGCTTCCATTTTTTGATCCGCCTAATCATGCAAATCACAGAACATGAATAGTTAAATGGCGGCATGCGGTATGTGACACTGAAAGGGGTTCCATTTCGTTGCAAATGCATACCTCCGTAGCGACAATATTATCAGGATAAACTGAATTGAATACAATTTTATAACTCATAAAAAATATTAACCAGTAATAATGTTATATTGTGTTTTTATCATTTAACTGTTTTCGATTATTTATTTCTTATATCCCGCGGCAATGCCTCCCTTTCTATAATCAGCTAAAGCCAGCAGCTCTCCGTTCTTTTTCCTCGCGATAACTTGAACGACACCCATGATTTGGCCTGGGGTTCCTGTGTTGAACAAAACGAAATCATCCTGTCAGTTATTGGCCTTTATGCGCGTTAAACGCGTGCTGAATCAAGGGGCGGGTTTTGCCTCCCTCCCTCCATCAATCCATCCTTTCGGCATCCATCCCTCCATCCGTTCATTTCTAATATGATCCATACATCCATCGGCTAAATCCCTCCATTCCTATATCCTTCCTTTTCTCCATCCTTCAAGCATCTATCCATCCATCCCTCCCTCCCTTCCTCCCTCCCTCCCTCCCTCCCTCCATCCACCATCCATCCATCCCTTCCTCCCTCTATCTTGCTTATTTGAATGATAGGAATCATAATCTAATCTAGTTGCCTCAAATACCTGTGAATAGTGCTGTATCATTAGTGACGTATCGATGTCCGTATTTCCTAATGTCGTTGACCAGTTTATTAGGAAAGTTCTCCTCAACCAAAACCATCTCAGGGAAAAGTTGAGAATGTAAGCGAGGTTTAGCCACAGCATCCTTAAGACTGTCTCCAAACCAATAATAGTTCATAAACACCTGTGACAGACAGACAACAAATACAGTGTTTATATTGGTCTATGAAAGCAAGAAAATGGTTAAAAAATAGCGTCTCAAATTGGTTAGACTAGTCACCCCCCCCCCCCCCCCTCAGTTCTTCATCACTGGATCCGCCCCTTTGCAAAAGGGGACTGCTTAGGGGAAAGAAGTATTCTGGTCGTTGCAAAGGCTTTTTTTGATAATGTGTTACATCCGTGTTGGACTGATATTCGATGCGTGCATCGTGAAACTTTAACCACAGAAAGCCCAACAGAGTGTTCATAAGTAAGCGAGCAATCTACAAACCTGAGCTAGCGTGGTTGGTATATACCTTCCACCAGCCGCACCAATCACCATCTGTAGATCATCATTCTTATCCAATAGAATTGCTGGACAAGATAATGATAAGGGTTTGCGATGAGCTTTAAAGCTATCTGGTACCAGGCCAAACTCATTCACCCAGTGATTCATGGCGTCAGCCAGCTGATCGTTGAAAATGATGCCGTATTTCTTCGAACGAATCTTTGAACCAAAGCTACGAAAAAAGAATAGTATTTCGTGAATTAGTTTACAAAATAGGGACTGTGGACGAATTCAGTTAGAAGCATATCATGAAAAAATAGTTACTGTCATGTGATTGTAGCAGGGCGAGTGGTCTTACTGGAACCATGAGATGCACGTGATAATCCCATGTGAACACAACACTTAACCAATAGACCTATCTCGATTTCGCTTGACTGACCACGAAACAATGGTTTGAAGTTCAGACTGAACTTGATTCTTTTATTCATCAAGTTCAACCTCGACTTGAAACTATTGTTTTGTGACCAGTCAAGCGAATTCGGGATAGGACTATTGATGTGAACATTTAACCGCATCGGATCAACATGAGATGTTATAATGTTGGGCTGTTAAAAAGGACATTTCCAAGATGGCGTCTATTTCGACCCCTAAAACATTCCCACAATGCACTTCAATGCCAAATTGACCCAGTGTTTTCTTCAAACTCTTAATAAACGGCTAATAGGCGTTGTACAATACTTTTTAAAGCTTTTTAATGCTTTTTTAAAATGTTTTTAAACGCTTTTTTAAACAGTATTAAAAGACTGCTCAATAGAGTGTGTGCAACCATGTGACTTAAATCCCTAGAGATATGAATAACAATGAAACAGCCGCCATGTTGGTTGATCTAACAAGAGATGCTAATAAGGAATGCTTTGTTACCGTCAACCAAGATGGCGACTATGACGTAACATGCACCTGCTCTATAGAGTGTGTGCAACCATGTGACTTAAATCCCTAGAGATATGAATAACAATGAAACAGCCTGCTCTATGCTTACTATTTATTAATAGAACTAGTCAGAGAAACACCATTGCCTTCTTCATCGACGATTGACAAGTGAGTGGTGCCTGAAGTGACGTCAAGCTGATAGTTGATTGGTCCATAATATCTAACCGGATGTGTCTTGCCGTCAATCATATCTCTTAGTCTTTTGGACTGTTTAGAGTCGAGCATTTTTTGGACAGTCTATTAACGTAAAGAACCAAGAACAGTTATGATTATGATCATTATACTTATTATATTTGATGTCCACTTTTTTGGACTGTCTTCCTCTGTCTCACTGATTGACTGTCTGTCTGACTGACTGTCTGTCTGTCTGTCTAAGTGATGAGGTCTATTTTCTAAACTTTACCTTCGTAGTGTCCCCAACAAATTTAGGGTCTCCAAGGAAAGTCAGACTAGCATGGGCAAACTTGAATGCTTCGATAATGCGATGGTATGTCAGACCGGGGTTTTCTTCCATGTCCTTTTTGGTAAAGTTGAAACCTAAAACATCAATAAACAGGGTTTACTTTGCATAGTATCCTCTGTACCAACTTGGAGGAGCAGCGCTTCGCATCTTTCTAAAACAGATTTTTGCGCAGAATTGTCCCTTTCACAGTTTCTGGCGCCATTTTGAAAGGTAGCCGTGCCTTTGCATCGAAGCGAAACGAACGGTGAGCTTGCAATGATAGAGACATAATAGCCCTGCGTACTTTGATTTTGGATTATTGTTAGATATCTGGATGGGCATCGAGAGATTTCGAGTCTTTTCATAATAGAAGGCTTACAAAAACCTATTGATCTGGAATTTGGAGCCCCATATAAAAGCAAAAACTACTTGATTGGCTTCATTTGGGATTGAATAATCTGGTTTCCTTGTTTTGCATAGGTTTTCTATTCTTAAAATTAGTTTTTTTCTAATAACGTTATGATGATTATTTCGTTAGATATCTTGCTGCGCAGAGAGAGATTTCGAGTCTTTTCATTAGAGAGAGCTTACAAAAACCTATTAATCTGGAATTTGCAGCCTCGAATAAAGACAAAAACTATTATTGATGGTTTTCACGGCGGCCATGTTGGAGGAACTTAACAAAAGAATTATCAATGAATTCTTTTGTTATATCCTCCAACATGGCCGCCGTGTCTTTTGTTATTTAATTCTCTTCGGGATGGTTGAAAACCATCAATTTATTGTGGTGCAATGTTTTCCCATTACAGACCGCGTGGTGAGTAGAGTATACGATTCTGTGTTTGAGTTCTATCCATATCCATGTGTCTTCTCATTCGTAACCATTAAACACAAAAATGATACTCTAGGGAATGAAACGTGGTCTGTAATAGGGCAAACATTACATCAAGACGAATAAGGGCTATTGAACGACCACGTATGAAAGAATGATTTATGATTACACTCACCACTAAGTATCTGAAGTGCCTGTGACATTACAGCCCCACCCCCAGCCGGTGGGGGGACAGATAGAAGCTTTGCACCATCCATGTGACCAATGTCTGCTTTTAAAGGTTCTCTCTCGATTGCTTCATATTTCTTTAAATCATCCAGGGTGAAAATTCCTCCTTCCGAATTGATTTCATTGACGATGTCTTTGGAAAATTTACCATTGTACAAGATATCTGCTCCTCCAGATTTGCCAATCATTTCTAAAGTCTTTCCGTAGACTGGTCGTTTGATCACATCACCCTCAGCTAATACTCTGCCGTTATGTGTGAAGATCTCACTGAAAAAAGAAAAAAATGTATCCAAATCCTGGACTCGCAGCATCACATGTGAGTAGAGTTTAGGGCTCTCCCTTGATTCGATGGTTTTTCTGCTTCCTTCCTTCGCAAAAAGTCCAATTTCTGAGTTATCATTCGATCTGTGAGAAAGTAGGGGTTGCGAAGAAAAGCGAAAGGGTCGTAATTAATTTACCTTAAACCTTCACTGGTTGTAATATTTAAAGCATTCTTAGCAATAGCAGTGGCTAAAGAAGGGTGGACCTTGTAACCCTTTTTACATATATCTGCTGCTGGTTGAAAGAGGTCCTTCCATTTCAGCTTTCCAAATCGTTTCCAAGCCTTCTCGAAACCTCGCAGCTCACCAGGGACTCCAACGAGGAGACCCTCACTTGGCTTCATCGTACTCTGCTCTGTTGATGAACAAGAGCTGACCGTAAAATACCGGGTAAACACGGCAGCACATACATTAGTGAATCAAGGGTTGTGTAGGGATAGTGCACTCACTTCTCACCTCTAGGATCTCAGGTTCGATTCCTGGACTTAACAAGGTAGCACATACATTAGTGAATCAAGGGTTGTGTAGGGCTGAAGCGCACTCACTTCTCACCTCTAGGATCTCAGGTTCGATTCCTGGACTTAACTGAGTACATACATTAGTGAATCAAGGGTTGTGAAGGGGTAGTGCACTCACTTCCCATCTCTGGGATCTCAGGTTCGATTCCTGGACTTAACAAGGCAGCACATACATTAGTGAATCAAGGGTGGTGTAGTGGAAGTGCACTCACTTCTCATCTCTGGGATCTCAGGTTCGATTCCTGCACTTAACATCACATGTGAATAGAGTTTGTTAGTTCTCTCTCTTGATTAAAGCCGGGGTTTTACTCCGTATTCAATGGTTTTCCTCCCTTAGAAAAAACTAACAATTTAAAATCAAATTCAAACTGTGAGAAATTAGCTGTGCCCTGACTTTAATTACCCCACCGGAGGTTTTTTTAGGATATCGATAAAATAAAAAAAATTTAAATGCACAACACAAGCAAGTGTGGATAAGGCGCCCAGAGGCTAAAATGCCCATGAAGGCTTGTACCTCTTAATTTCATCAGATGAAGGACATGTAACATCTCTTCGGTACCCTTGGACGTTAGTCGTCCAGGAGCCATTTCCCTGAAGTCGATGGCAGACGAACGTTCTGTGAAGGAAAATTGTTAAAATAGTTCGGCAACCAGCTATCATACCGAGCACACGGCAAGGTCAAAGAACAACAACAACGACAAATGAAATGAAAACGGCGCTTCAGTGACCCTTTAAGGGATTCGGACACTGTTTTCAATGGGATATATACCTGTGCCGAACGCACGACATGCTCGCGTTAGTACCTTGAGTATATAACTATATAAAGAGTTTACACGCAACAAATCAGAGCGCACGTTACTAGTCAAGTATCACTATGGAAACACAGCAGCAATTAAATTAACACGTCATAGATGCCATGACATCAGTGCATGCCCGCTTGCCAAATTTTTCATAGACGTATGCAGCGACTTTTAGGAGTGCCAAAGAAACGTACGGTATGGAAGTACAAGATGTACACAGTACAACATGCAGTAACAATGAAATCGCTTCCCATTGGTTTCCTGCGCTTCATTCAATAAAATGTTTTAGGCACGATAAAATATATACGTTACATATGTGCTGCTGTACGGCTAGGAGTCTGTCGTATCGTGTCCTACTTATACGACAACCGGCCACTCTAACTTCTAGTCCCCGTAAACCAGATCAACGTGTCTATAGTTTTTTTTTTTATCACCACGTACTTACTTGACTTTCTGTCATAAATGATCATAAATCCACCACCACCCAGTCCTGCAGAATGAGGATTTATCACACCAACACAAAGAGCTGTTGCTATGGCAGCGTCAACGGCATGCCCTCCTTTCTTGAGAATGTCCCGCCCGACCTTGGAGCATAACTTGTGGTCAGCGGCAACTGCGGCGTGTTCAAATTCAAGTGGATCTGGAGGAGGGATTGTGGGAACGTTGCTACTGTTGAGACAATAGTAATATTGACTAGTTTAAACATAGACTATTTTCGAATTTGTACGATTCCAATGTATTCCTTGATTACAGATTCACTTCAAAACTGGAGTATACGTTTTTCACTCGTGTTAAATTTCAAACTCGTACCCGGAGCCTGCGTTTCTCTTGATCAGCACCGGCTCCGGGCGACATTGGTCAACGTACTTTAGGTGTCTGCGGTCATTCGAGCATGCGCGTTGGGACTGTGAAAAATATCCCAGAAACCAAGAGAGCATGAAGTACTTCATCCTCTCTTGATAGAAACTTATGATAAAGATATAGATAAAGATACATCATAAAAAACGAGAGAGAGAGAGAGAGAGAGAGAGAGAGAGAGCTAGAAAAAAGCGGGGGGAGGGGGGGGGGAAGGAAATAAACGGCGAGTATAAAAAATAAAGACTTAGAAGATGTAAATAAAGGAAATTATCATACACTTAGTTGAGACAAAATTTAAAATCTTTATTTTTCGTATGAAGATTGGTCTTTTTGAATTTGAAAATATTAATAGAACCGATAGGTATTTTTTATTTATATTTATTTTTTATTACTAAGAATAGTAACATATTTATCGAAATTCCCGTGACCCAAGGTTGATTATAACTCAAACTACACCAGTTGGCCCAAAACTGATCTTCTTACAGATTTATTTAAAATATCATCCAAATTATAAACTAAAATGTTAAAATGATGGCATATATATAGCTAAAAAAGATTATAATTCTATTTGAAAATAATGATGTAACATCCAATAAAAATATTTAAGCAAAATTGTCAATACAATCGTAAAAAATTAAGACTCCAAAATAAATATTTTGGCAGACACATTTTATTATATTTTTGTATTTATTCAAAATGCAATGAAATAAAATTTAAAAAGAGAGAGGAAAAAAGCGAAAAAAATTATCATTTCGTAATGAAACTTACCTTCGTTTACTCTCATGCAAAGAAGAATCTTTCAAAAAAAAATTTGAAATTTTTTTGTCCATTCCAGTTAAAAACCCTAGAGTGCAAACTGCGCATAAGACAATTACGGCAGTGATAAGCTTAAGGAAAAATCGCCCATTTCCTTTGGTATTTTTCCCCATCTTTTAAAGATTTTAGGACTAAACTGAATACCATGTAAGTGCCCTTTCGACGGATGGTTAGATTAACGGGTAGATCAGTGGGTTTTTTTTAGAATGTCAAGGGTCATTTGAGAACATCAAATACCTGTTGGGATACTTGTGGCTTAGCTTGGAAAACGTAATGAACGTCAAAGACTATCAAATAAAAATTAGAATGAAAGAAAAACAGAAAAGAAAAGGAATAAGAAATATAAAAGGAGAATTAAAAGAAAAGGAGGGGGGAAACCTGAAGATGGAAAGAAAAAAAAACAAAGGAATGAAGAAAAAAGAAAGAGAAAAAATGCAATCAATTAAAAAAGAGAATAAACTGAAAGAAAAAAAGAAGGTAAAGAATAAAAAAATAACAAACTTGTAGAAAGCATTAAATTCAGTTTTATTGAAACAATATTTCTAACTGGCAGTGCAGTAATTTGATATTATGGTGTAATCTTTTTAACAAAAATAAGCTGTCTACACAACGATTTCATGTAATTAATTATTCGTTCATATTTCTCCGCCCACAAAACCGCTGACCGCCAGCAACGCCGGCTATATTAAGAATACATTAATTTGAATACGTTGATGCAAGTTTGTGGATGAGACCCCTGGACTATTACATGTTTTTTCTCCAAGTTTCCACACGCATTACGATGGATTCCGTAGTGAAACAAAATTTCTGGTATGCTTTTGATATACAGTCAACTCTCGTTACAGCGGACACCCTGCGGACCGTGCCCTGGTATACGTATAAATAGCGAGTGTCCGCAATTCTTGGTGCAACCAAACCATGTGACTGAAAAATCACTTGACTTATATAAATAACAATGAAACAGCCGCCATCTTGGTTCACCTAACAAAAGAAGCTTAATGAGGAATGCCTTTGTATAGTCAACCAACATGGCGGCTATGACGTCATATGTACCTCAAGAATAGCGAGAATATTATTTTATTCGGTCATTTCTTCGTCACTACTTTTTTTTGCTCCTGTCCGTAATAGCGAGTTCCTCAAAATGAAATTACTGTGCTTTATTGAATAAATAAACACCTACTGGTGGCCGGCTGGGTTATCGGCTGATTATGTCTGAGGATGAGAAGTGGACCGACAAAAGAAAAAGTTGGCCTAGACACGAAGCTTCGAGAGCTTATGTGATGAAGGACCATATTTTGAGGACCACTTCTCATTCTCATTAATATTCAAGTAATTATGAGCCAGAACCTTGGAGGGCTTACTGGATCTTTTTTATTCTTTTATTTTTCTTTACTTTTAATTATTTTTAATGATTATTATTAACAATCACAATTACACATTATAAACAAATACAAATAATTAAAAATAATGCTTACAATTCCTTACTGGATCTTAGCAAATTTTAACAAACCGTTTTTATACTTAGTTACTCATTCTATGTGTACACACATATGCGCATGATCATAAATCGAGCACGTGCCCACTGCCAGATATCATCCCACATGCATCGATCAGCAAAATACAAATTACGAATATAAATTAGCTCTCGTCCAATAGAGCGTTTTCACTAACGTGACAAGGCAGCCATATTTGTGTAACAAACAATAGAAACTTTCCGCACAGTTTTTTGCATAAAAATAGAGTTTAATTCCCGGAGGATAGAAAATTCAATGTTTTGGTGCACCAACATGGCCGTAGCTTCCTTTGCAGCCACTCTTACGGTCGTCACGCAACGAGGGAAACGTTGCGTGACGACCCTAAGAACGGCTGCAAAGGAGGCTAACATGGCCGCTGTGACGTCACGTCAAAATGCGAAAGTTTCGAGCAGCTTTCTTATTATGTGCAAAATCCAAAAGTAAATTTCGTGTAGCGTTCGTGATTAATTAAGTATGGAGTAAGATGACTGATTATAATCGTTTAAAAAAATATCAATATGGTAACGCCTGATTGGCTTGTTCTAAAACCTGAAATTCTGGAATGGAACTGTTACGGTGGATCGAAGCACGGGAACCACCGGATCGAATATTCAAGATTCCATAGCTTGTGCTTCTTCATATAAAAAATGTTCAAACATTTTTATTACTTCATTTACATTATCACTTCCAGATTCGAACATCAGACGATCAAAGTGTAAGCAGAAGGCTCCAATATCGCCATGTCTTCCTGCTTTCTTCGCCTTTCCTCTTATTCGTTCAAGAGTGTCTTCACTCGCAGGCATCTCCCTCAAGAACGTCCCAATATCTTCGCCAGTTCTCAGCATTGCTTCATAGGCTTCTAACCAGATAAGACCTTTCATTAACACATCACACAGATCCATCTCTTTGCTCTCCCATCGATCCGGTCTACAGTGACATATTTGCGTGAGACCATACCTTGAAGACTCATAGCAGTGGTTTTGAAAACTTGACTTTAATTCAGTCGACCCATCTCGATCTTTTAACGGTGAACCTGGATTTGAAACCACTAAAGCTGGACAACCATGAGGGAAATTTGGCGGAAGATAACTTCTAAGAGTATAATCATTTCCCTGTGAGGTTTGGACTTGTAGTTCCACTCTCACGTCTCCTGGGACTTCAATAAAAGTGACGAATTCGCCGAACATGTCTTTAAGCCAAGGCTTTTCACATTTGTAGTACCTCGATCTCTGTCGTTTTAACGGCCACAGGCTTGCTGCCATCGCTTTCACAACTCTAGTTCGATGAAGATATGGGTAACAATTTACTCACTAGCAGAATGACAAACTTCTCAAATAATTCTAGATTTCGCTTGTGAAGCAAAAATTTAGGGGAATCCCCAAGGCATGAAAACATTTAAGATCATTTGCATATCATGGTTTGTTGGGCCGCTATGGTCTAGAAACAACACACTGTAAAAAAGGTATAGTCAAATTTCATGGCAATGGAAATAATTCCTGCCTTCCTTCCTTTCTTCCTTGCCGAGAGCCCTTGCAAAAAAGCATGACATAGGGAATTGGGGAATCGCGCGCAAAAAAATATCATATACTGTATATTTAACTTGGTTTTTCCATTCGCTTGTATTTTCAAAATTAGTCGTCCTTTTATCATACATAATTATATGTATTTTTTAAAATTCTTCAAATTTTATTTTCGTTGTTGGCTACTAGTAGTTTGTCTGACATTATTATCTCATTTGGGCTCCCTGTGGAAACCTTGAGAAGTACTGAAATCAAGATGGCGGCCGATGGAAGTCAGTTGTTTTCACCTTTTCGAGCCCTTGGACTCGTCACAAATCATGTTCCACTCGCTGTACAGGCACAAGGGACAGAGAACCTGATAGCTACTGCAGTTGGTTCGTCGTATCACGTTTATAATGTGAGTATAGCTGAGAATCTGTGTGAAGTTGTTTCACGAAGTTCCACGTGGTTGTGAAAAATGCTTCAATTTACTTTGAAGTCTGTTTGTTTTTTAGTGATATTTTGTTTTTGTTTGTATTTTTAGTCTGCAAAACTTAACCTTCTTTTTGTTGGTAAGTAGGAATTCAAGGGACCGCTCATTATTTATTGACTTGAGCTATAGTTGAGTTGAGAAAATGGTAGACCTTGAAATTTTAGTGACCCAGCAAAGTGGACCCTTTGAAATAATTGATGAGTTATGTATAGGAGGCGTTCAGAATGTTGGATGTGAACAGAGGTATCTAGGAAAAAAGGGCAATCTAATGAGGGGCTGGAGAAAAAAACGTATTTTTTTGTTACCCACCCTAATAAAAAATGACTGTTCCCTGATATTTGTGAATACTTGCAACTGTAGGGCCAATACAAGATGATGAAATCACTTGTATCACCACTTATGGATCCATCATCATTACAGCTTGTGGGAAACAGATCAAGTCATGGAAAAGGGGCAAACAGGTAAGTGGGTGCACTAGGAACAGGTTACTACAGTATTGTGCACTGTGAGTGAACTGTCTCTATCTTGTCAATGGAGTTATGGTTTTGATGCTTCAAAACTTTTAGCCCCCCTCCATCAAATTGGTATTCACACAGGTAACCCACCAATAGAAAATATACAAGAGAAAGTAATGCCTGTGGTTTTGATTCTTTAAAAAGTTTTAGCCCCACTCCATTAAATTGGTATTCACACAGGTAACCCACTAACAGAAAAAAATACAACAGAAAATAATGCCTGTGGAAAAGTTAAGGGAGGATAACATGTATAACATACTTGTTTTTAGTAATGTTTTGCTTATGGAGATCAAGGGAAAAATAGCTGTAGTACACTCACCTTTGGGGTCTCAGTTTGGATTCCTGGATTCGGCCTCACATGTGAAAAGGGCTTTTTTTGTTGGGGGTCTCTCCGTTGAATTGATTTGAGGGTTTTTCTCAGGGTTTTCCAGTTTCTCTATCTCCTGCTAAAATTCCCATCCAACCTCACTGTGAATTAGTTGTGACCTGACTTTGTTATCCCAGAGGTTGTTTCAGGGTAAAATATAATTTGAATATTTTTTTACTTTGCTAATAATGGTCAAAAGAGCTCATAATTCTCAATTAATGAATATTTAAGCTTTCTTTCTTGCAAGGTCCAGAAGGCCTCTTTTTGTACTCTGTATTTATGCTGGGACAAGAAAAGATCTAAGTAACTTTTTATGTAACATTTTTGCAGGTGAACATATTTCAAGGCCATACACAAGATGTCCATATATTATATACATTTGGTTCTCATTTGATATCCGTTGATAAGAAGAGTAATGTTAAAATATGGGTGATTGATACAGCAGGTAAAGGAAAACACATGCTTATATTTATCTGGCTAGGGTGTATGTACTATTTGTTCCATGTACAAGTGGCATGCCATTAAATATAACAGGAGGCCCTTATATTTTCTAGTACTGTATACAGGTACATATACATGTACTGTATATACACAAGCCTTCACTCAAGTGACTACATGTATACAATAAAAGACAAAAATGATCAGTCTGTACCTTTAATGTTCTTGACTGGCGGCAGTAAAAACCAATTTCACAACAAGCTGTTGAAATATTGGAGTTTGCAGAATATTGAAAACTGCAGTAATGTATTTGCATACATGTACTTCTATGCACAGGCTTTTGGCTAGTGAACGAGCTTTAACACACCTTATTTGGTAGAACCATCCAGCTTCACATTGAAATGTGTCGGTTTAACGTACAGAACCTGTACATACTGTAGCAGTATGTGAATACACTAATGCGGTCATACTTTTGCACGTTGCTCTATACATAATAATCTTCTTTACTTTGTTGGTTTTGTAAAGTTTCCCCATTTTAGTCCATGTGTCAATTGCTACTGTAGAGTATTATTTCTTTGTTTAATGGTATGGGTTGTGCACGAGACACATACTGTAAATATGGATTCAACTTAAACAAAGAATCTCATTCTCAAGAGAATGACAGTTTGAGTCAAAGAAGTCTTTATGTAGCCATGTAGTGGTTAACAAGTCCTTGTCACAATGTGTAGTTCCACAAATCATCCATACCCACCTCACAGAGGAGTTTGGAATTTCCGAAGAGTAGGGGGGTCAGAGAAAGAACAAAAATTACAGAGTTTGTATGGAAGAAAATTGGAATTTCTGGGGTCAAGGGGGTGTCTTAAAAAAATTCCTCCATGAGGGGGGTATGGATAATTTTTGGAACTACACAATTCCTTTAGAATTTAGAAGTTGATTGAAATTTTTGCATGTATACGAATACTAAAAACCTTGTTTTTTTTGTCTTTGTTTTAAGAGTTGTACCTGGAGTTGAACTTTGAGCCAAATACATTTGACATCTCATGTCTCATGCATCCAAGCACTTACCTCAATAAGATACTACTATGTAGCAAACAAGGAACAATGCAGCTGTGGAATATTAAAACAAAGTATGGGAGCATTCATTTTTTAGATGAGAGGTGGAAGCAATCTAGGGGAGGGTCATTGAACAAGTTATAGAGAGGGTCAACAGTATTTTCTTTCAATAAAAAGTTTTGTGAGAACAGAGCAATGAAAATAAAATATTGTTGACAAATACAATCGCTGTGCACACACAAAGGCACTCATGCACATCCATGTAATATGCTGCTAAAATTGCCATGTATTTCTTTAACTTGGTTGTTTTTTTCTTGCAGTAAAATGATTTATGTGTTTCAAGGATGGCCTGAGCAAATAACTACAGTTGAACAGGTAATCCCTCCATGATCTTGGGTCTGATTCCTGAACTTGGCATCACTGTAGAGTTTAGTATCAAAGAGTGGTATAGCTGTAGTACTGCACTTGCAATCCTCACTTCTGGTATGGGGATTCTTTTCTTTGTAAGTTTTTGAGCACAGGGTGATACATAGAAGAAACTACACTGTGGCATGAAGATACAGTACGAGGTTTATTTTTGAGTGGTGAAATATATTACATTGTTATATAGCTACGAAATTTTCCAAAATATAATGAACACTCTCATTGGTTGCAAGATGACCATGTGACACTAGTTAGATCTAAATTTATGCCGACCAGGAAATAATTTACTTATAAATAGTTTTGTAAACTGACTTCTCAATATTTCTCAATTGCTATAATATAACAAAACACTTAATATAACATCTGGTCCCTCGGGAAATTAGCTAGTTTTGTTTTCCCTCGAGTCTTGATGTTTCCCTCGACTTCACCTAGTGAAACATCGAGACTCTCGGGAAAACAAAACTAACTATTTCCCTCTCAACCAGACATTTAGTGTATAATATGAGAAGACAAAATTCATGTCTTAAAGCCAGCATGTAATTTTCATTTTATTATACACATCCACAAACATTAACAAAAACTTGTTGCAATGTGCCTCTTCACGTGAGGATATGGAAAATATGTCACTGAGGTCCCGAATGTAGTTTGTATGAAAAAAATGAGTAACGTATCTCCCCAGTCTTTAAATTAATAATAAATTATTTTCCTTCATACAGGCTCCTGCTATTGATGTTGTTGGTATTGGACTACAAAGTGGCAAGATAGTTATTCATAACTTAAAGTATGATGATACAGTAATGACCTTTCAGCAGGACTGGGGCCCTGTAACAGCAATGGCCTTTAGGACAGGTACACCTGTAAATCTGTCAGTGTATCTTTTCATTCAGGGCCTTCAGAATAAGCTGGACCATGTCGTAGCTCTGGCAGTTACTTCAAAGTTAACCGGTGGATGCTTTTTCATTTCTATATGGACCTTTAGTTCCTTGTACCTGATTACGGCCAGCTACTTCAGACTTATGACAACCTACTCCATAACATTCTGAAAGCCCTCTCATTGAGAGTCATAGAGTTTGCAAGTGTATTTAAGGGTATTTAATTTCAAAAGTTCACTAAGTCCAAAGTGATCCCATGAACATATCAAGTCATCAAGCAGATCATTTAGCCACAAAGAACTTGTCTTTTATTATTATGCTACTATCTTGTATACTTATCAAATGTTAGACACTACTTAATCACCTTTTCCCCCCTCCTTTGCAGATGGAACCCCAGTTTTAGCAACAGCAAGTACGTTGGGTCACATTGCATTATGGGATTTAGAGGGTAGTAAGTTGAGAGGGACACTAAGAGATGCTCATAATGGTAGTGTGTGTGGTATGAAATTCCTGTCGTCACAGCCTGTCTTGGTTACGAATGGACCTGATAATGCATTAAAGGTAAATACTACTGTACATGTGGCTATATTGCTCATTGTGAGAGGCTCTTCCATGAAGTTTGCTCCACATGCACTACCACTACATTCACTATTTACTGCATTTTTACTATTTGCTTTGTTGGGTTGTCCAATAAATTTCTAGTTGGCAATTACATGTGTAAGTAACATTCAACCAAAACAAATTTTGTCATGGCTACGCCCACCTATATTGTATTAGGCAGGACTAGTACTAATACCTGCTGTCTAGCATACCTCTTTCATACTATATTTGCTAAATTAAACTAATAAACACGTAGGTTTGGATATTTGATCAGCCTGATGGAAGTGGTCGTTTGTTGAGGTCTCGTTCTGGACACAGTGCCCCACCCACTAAAATTCGTTTCTATGGTTGCAAAGGAGGAGATATACTTAGCGCAGGTATACTAAACACAAAAGTTGACACAATGTACCAAAACAAATTTCCTATATAATTACAGTAAAACAAGGCAAGGTCATGAAGGTGTATGTTTTATAGAGTTACCATGACTGTAATTACTGTAACACAAACCTGTATTTAGTGAGCTCCCTTCATTAATCTGACACCAGCCAAGGTCCTGAAGGTGTATGCTTTATAGAGGGACCTTTGTATTACTGTATCACAACCCTTTATTAAACAGACACCAGACAAAGTACATCCCAAAGGTGTCTGCTTAATCCAGGTACCACTGTATTTACTGTAAGGCAAACTTTTATTAAGTGGACACCCTCTATTAAGCAGACACTAGGCAATTTCTTGAAGGTACAGCATGTGCTTATAGAGGTACCACTGTAGTTGACATTGGTACTGCCCCTATTAGATGATGTCTTTTTTATGAGCAAAAAAACTCTCACTAAACGACTTAACCATGCTTAATCAAATTAACGTATGACCATTTTATAATTTTCGTAGGTCTTGATAGAACTTTACGTCAAATTTCTACTGTTAGGGATGCCAGAAGTTGTGAGTTTTCTCAAGGTAGATATTGTTACAATAACTATAAAATCCTGGTGTTACATCTTCAGTAATTTACATTCAGTTGCATTATTTTTTTGTTTAATCAATTAGTTGGGGTGCTAAGGCTTGCAAATTACCCTTTATTTATGAACGCAGTTCTGAAATAGATAAGTATACATTTGTTAAAACAGGAAAACTCAAATTATTGGTATGATCATATATTATTGTATAATCATGTCCCTATGCCTGCTCTAACTGGTCAAGAACTGTGCTGTATAAACAAATAAAGCACAGGCTGACATCATTTGTATCACACTGAGTCAGCTTTGCAAAGTAGTGTAAGAAAGCCTAAAGTTTGTGCTTCTTTTAAAATCACACTTTTTGCATTCTTTTGTTGCTGTATTACTGAATGGACGACAAAAAACTGTCTTATTTATTTATTTCTCTAACCTTTTTTTAAGGTTCTCTAGCAAAGAAGTCCAAAAATAAAGGTGTCAAAGTGGAAAAACTAAAGTTAACTCCCATTATTGATTTTGCTGCAGGTTTGTTCAAGCCCACCTTGTTTTCATCTTCATTACAATAGACCTTGTTACCTTGGGTTAATGTTTTCCCGTTTCAGACCACACGTCATTCCCTAGAGTGTCATTTCTTTGTTTAATGGTTGCACTTGAGAAGAATATGATACAACTAAAACAAAGTATCTTATTCCCAGGAGTATGAAACATTGTGCACCCATTTTTTTCTGCCTGCTTATGTAAAAGAAACTGTGTGAATCTAGTGGTCATAGTACTGTATATAATGCTATCATGCAAATGGTCTACTCTGCAATAGGCAATGTGCATAAGCATGAATCTCTAGCACAAAGCATGATGGGAAACTGAGTACTACAGACATCAGAACAAAGAAATCAATAAAATTATCACAACAAATTACTCTTATTTTTGTCTGTTGAAATACTTACAGTTTCATAGAAAATGTCGAAGGAAAAATTGTCAGAGGAATTTTTAGAGTAGCTGTAAAAATGTAAGTACTTGGTTTCCCATCGTGCTCCCATGTGCTAGAGATTCGTGTTCATGTACATTGGCTATTGGCCAATCTACTCTATCTTTGAAAATGCATCTTCTATTTGACCAACTTTAGATATTGTTAATTTTGTTTGTTTGAAGAACCAGCCAGACAAAGTGACTGGGACAACATCCTAACATGTCACCAAGGCAACATGAAAGCAAGGACCTGGAGATACCTTAACAAATGTCTTGGAAAGCATGTCATTCATACACCTGGTAACCATGGTGGCAAAAATATAACAACCACTGTAAGTCATTCGTATGCTGTACTTGTGTGAGGCATTACAGTGCCAATCGAAAAACCGTGGGCACCTAGGAATATTTCAAGAATGTTTCTTAACCAATCAAAAACGTAACTGTTATTTTTCTGTATCAATTTGAGCTGATCCTCTTTTTTTGACCTTTCAGTTATTTTGAGGTTAGAAAATCATTTCTGAATGGCCATTGAAAAACAGTAGAACATTCCTGGACTATTTCTAGGTGCCCATGATTTTTTGATTAGCATTGTAATTGACTGACTTTGACTATTGATCAATTGCAATCATTCCCAATAGAGTCAAGCAACAAAGACATGGTGGCCATGTTGGTGGTATAAAGAAGTCTCTCGTTTAATACCAACATGGCTGCAATGGCATAACATGCAAACGTGACCATGTTTTTTATAATTTATTGGTTAGCTTTATTAATTGTACTATGTGGTATTCTTTAACTTCAAGTCTATCCTCTTATATAACAGGGCTCGAAATAGAAAACTTTTTAAGCCTGCCATAGTAAAGGAGCACAGTAAAAGGAGGTCATTCCAGTAAATTTTGCATGCCATTTTATTATTCATTTGGCAGTGCATCCTTATTTTCGCCTGGCAAACCTGAAATTTGTCCTGTCATTTGGCCATTAGCAGGCCACTATTTTGAGTCCTGTATAAATATTTTTGACTTTCTGAAATGACAAAAAAAATTGGGTTTCTTGTGATGAAAGGAAAGCTGGTGTAATGTTATGGGTTTCCTTCTACAGTGGTATCTGCCATGGCTTTGGGGTTCCTGTGGTATCTGCCAAATAACTAAGAACACAGAAAATATAGTCATGTTTTACTGTTGTGTTGCAGGCAGTAACCATCAGCTCCTGTGGAAACTTTGCCATCATTGGTGACTCTGTAGGTCACGTGAATGCTTTTAACATCCAATCAGCCAATCTCAGAGGATCGTTTGGCTCACCTCAAGGTATTGTTCAATAACTATCCATAATACTGGTTATTACTGGTTTTACTTGTTATCACTGGTCATACTGGTTACACCAGTTTCACTGGTTTTTAGTGGCTGTGTACCCTATGACAAACAACAATGAAATATTATCACGTGAGGGCTGTGATGAAGTCGGCTGTCTGGAAGAATGGGCCTTTTTCATACGGCAGCCATGTTGGTTTGAACAATAGTTTTCACCATGCGTGGCCTCGCATTCAAGTGCTTGAGAATATATTTATGAGGGTCAAACGAAGATTTTTATTCTCATGAGAATAAAAATGGCTGCCATGTTTTCATTATTTTCTTTTGTTTTGTTTGTTATGTGAAGTATTTGATTTACAACTAATACAGAGCAGCACAATGCCCATTGTTCATTGTCTTTTTAGAATCTTGAATCATTTATGATGCATATTTGGGTTACAGCACACAAGGGTTGTATACGAGGAGTAGCGATAGATGGGATCAACCAACAACTTCTAACAGCATCTGCTGATTGTAAGCTAAAGGTAAGTATCACTGTCATCAGCCATTATCATCATCATCTGTCATAAAAACCATCAATATCAATCAACCTTGACCCCAGAGATGTGATGCGAGTGCATAAGCTATAATCATCACTTTCACCATAAGCTCCACTACCATCATTATCATCACTACCACTCTCTATATCCTCATCTTTATCACCATCATCTATCATCACATGCATCCTCTTGAAATTCATCATTAACAGCATCATTATGAACAGCAGCTATGCCACTAACACTACTACTATCACCCTCACCCTTACCAACAACATTACAACTTTCTTTATCATCACCATCATCCATTATCATCATCATCACCATCATCATCATCACCACTTTAGCCATAGCATTAGTTGTGGTTCAAGTACTTCTTGACCCTCTCTAGCTGTTATCCAAGACATGAATAAGTATTTTTTTCTATTATAGTTTTGGCATTTTCAAAAACGAGCACTCCTTCATTCCATGTCCTTTGAATCTCCAATCACACAACTCGAACTTCATCGTGAAAGGTACGTGCGTCACTTGTTCTGTCATGTCATGAAAAATAAACTCACACTTGCATGCAGTGTTTCAAAGAAGACTTTTAGATTTTAATCCGGCAGTACCCTGGGAGAATCCAAGTTAGATAAAATTGGGTATTCAGCGTGTTAGGTCTTGTGGAGGGAGAAAACCCTCCTCGAATCAAGGTAAAGACCTAACAAACTCTACTCATGTGATTCAGGTATTTATGATACAAAATTACTCGATTCTGATTGGACAAGAGGAGTACAATTAAATTCCAAATCGTACTCTGTAGAGTCCCAATTAAGTTGCTCAATTTTTTTTGAGTGTACTATTTGTACTGGAATTTACAGATACTCGTGATGTTTTGAAAGTTCTCAAATTGAACTCGCCTAAAGGGCCGTCCAATTTTGAAACCTATAAATTCCGAATTGTACTCGAGATCGTGCGATTTCCTCTACTAATTCCCAGACCCCAGGGGTGAGAGGCGAGTGCGCTCTAACTACGCCACTCTTATTCTCTGTAACTGAGAGAAAGTATACTAATGATTGACTGTTTGGTTGTAGCTCTCTTCTAGCGGTGACCTGTGATGATTTTGCAGTCCACGTTGTGGATATCGAGACAAGACGAATCGTACGAACCTTCGCAGGACACACAAACAGAATAACTGATGTAGTAAGTGGATTCAGTTGTTTCATTATTCTTTCCACAATACACTGGAATGCCAACTCGACCCTGTTTTTTTTTCTCAACCTCGCAATGGCTAATTAAAGGAGTTCCAACATCGAAGGGTACCAATGATTAGGAGACACTTTTCTTGGAGCCCAGCTGTTGTATTTTCCTCACCAAATTTTTTTTAGGATACTTTGTAATAGTTATTTTAGGGTGAAAGTTTATTAAATAAAAAATTAATAGATTCAATCAGACAGTCGTGTTACTAATATGAGTGAGTAGATAGATAGATAAAAGCCTTTATTTAATGAGTCATGCGCGAAATAGCTAAAAGCTAATAAACTTGTGTAATTGTTCCTTATAAGCTTCCTGAAAAGCAGAATTGACGAATGTCGATAGGCAAAAAATATCATAATATACAGGCAGACCGACCCTAATTAATCTACCTCCTTCTTACGTTTATAACTTGGACACATTAAATTCTAAAATTTTGAGTGACACTGTCTGTAATGTTTTTTTCAGTGTTTCAGTCCCGATGCTCGATGGTTAGTAACAGCATCCATGGATTCCAGCATCAGAACATGGGATCTCCCCGCTGCAAGGTAAAAAATATCGTCAAAATCTATCATATATTATGACCACGCTAATCTTATGAATATACATTTTTTTTGACACCAGGCTACTGGATTGCTTCCTTGTCACAAGTCCTATTACAAGCCTGACTATATCCCCCACGGGAGAATATCTTGCCACGACACATGTCGACGACTTGGGGATTTGCTTGTGGTAAGTTGAAAACTGACTTTGGATCCTCTCGTTCTCAATAGCACGTGTGGAATCGTCGTCGCGACGAAATAGGTTTTGATGGCCATCAGTCAAGGCGTTTCCATGGTATTGTACGGCCCTTGAAAACCTTGTGTTCCCGGCAATATCAGACACACTTTAATTGACGTCAACCAAAACCCTATTTTGTCGCGACAGCAAATGGTGCTATTCCGTACGCGGTGTTATTGACAACGACTATAAGTTAAGGTTAAACCAATTAAAAATCTGAAATTACAATCACAGGTCCAATAAGACACTGTATGGACATGTGTCTCTGGTACCCCTCCCTTCTGATTACCAGCCATGTGTAGTAGAGTTGCCGTCGACAAGTGCTGATCAACATGATGGTAAGTTCTTACGATACGCAGGTCCGCAATTTGTTACGATATTTAGTGTCAAAACGATGCACTGATGGAGGGAAGGGTCAAATATTGTAATGCTGAAGATATTGAGAGGAGAGTGAGAACATTGATGAGAGCTAAACTAAAGCGCCAGCTATGACATCACACTCACTTGTTTGTCCAGTATTTTTCTCAATAAGCACCCACGTTTTAGAGTGAAATGACGTCTTTTGGAATCGCTTTACTTAAAACGAAAATCAGCAAAGATGAGCTTTTGGCGTAACCGTTCTCTTTAGTACGTAAAAATAGGACATTTCACGTCTTACTTTCAGCATAAGACATTCCAACGAGTATCTATCGAATATCGCAATTCGTGCTATTGTATGCTTGCCGTCGTCGTCGTCGTTGCCGTCCTGCAGCTTAAGGTCCCTAGTATCATTAAAATTGATGAACTTGGGAAACTGTTACACTTAAGCTGAAAAACATCTACGTTATGAATCGTCTAAAACTACGTTTTAAAAAATGAAATTCTATCTTACTGATCAGGGCACGAAGATGATGAAGTGACAGATACCACAGACAAAGATGAAGAGCAAGAGACGAAGGAAGATCAGAAGTTTAAGTCACCTGACCAGCTGTCGAGTGAACTCATTACTCTGTCTCTTCTTCCTCAATCACGATGGAAAAACCTAACAAGCCTGGAGATTATAAAGGTTCTGTAATGAGATACACTTCTGATATGATCTTTTGTAGAATATAAAACACGTTACGCATTCTGATTGGTTCTTATATGAGGCTATATGTGAACTCGGTTCTGAAGTCACAGCTTCGGATGCTTGGTGATTTGTCTCCTGATAAATACTGGGGTGCTTACCATTTTAACCAATGCATCCGGTTGGGAATTCGTTTGCTAATGGTAAGAAAAGAGCGGGAAACATTGACTTCCGAAAAATGGTACACGCGTCTTTTTAAAGAACCAAAAGAGCGGGAAAAGTGGATTACCTTAATCGGAGGACCGAGTTTTTCGGAACTTTCTGATCGGAATGACACACACCATTTGATTTCCTACCGGAACTGATTTTCCGGGTAAATTGTAAGCACCCCTTATCTACTTTATAAATCGCATAAGATGTTTGTTAGTACGCACCAGTCAGCCATTTTTTTTAAATATTAAAATATATTTTTTAATTATTTGACATAACTATTTTCTAGGAAAGAAATAAACCAAAGCAACCACCCAAGCAACCAAAAGCCGCGCCCTTTTTCCTGACCACCGAGCCAGGACTGGTACCAAAATTCGTCGCAACCGACGGAGACGATGACAGCTCAGTGACGTCATCGAAACTGATTCAGTTGGACAGACTACAGCCACAGTCTGAATTCCAAAGACTTTTAGCAGATGCTTCCACTTCTAGAAACTGTGAGTATACAGGGATACTTCTATTCAGCACTTTATAGAGGTTTTATTTTACAGTAAATACAATAGTACTTCTATTAAGCGGGCACTTTGGAACCTTGCCCGGTGTCCGCTGAACACAGGGTATCCACTTTATAGAGGTTTTATTTTACAGTAAATACAATAGTACCTCTATTAAGCGGGCACTTTGGAACCTTACCTGGTCTCCTTTAATAAAGGGTGACCGCTGAACATCTCTTAAATGCTAATTCCTTGGGATCTTAATATCTATCGACAGATGAGCCCCTCATGGAAAAGCTCAAGAACATGGGACCTTCTGGGATCGATGTGGAACTAAGGCTGTTGAGTCCTGATGCTGGTGGCGATCTTATTTTAATGAAACAGTTTATGGAATTTCTAATCGCTCAAATTGATACGAAAAAAGACTTCGAACTCGCTGAGGCGTACATGGCCTTGTTTTTAAAGGTAACGGATAAATATTTTGAGGGATTTTGTTTGGAAGGGGAGGAGTCCAATATTTCTCAAGGTCGTAGATACTGTAGATGGGTGACTAAAACAATACACAACTAAGTAACAAAGGTTCGGTCAAGGGATAGTAAGGGACCGGCCATTATTTAGAGAAGGGGGGGGGAGGAGGGGGGCTGGTGCAAATAGGGGGTTGGTCACAAGGGGGAAAAGTGGGACATATCAGGGAGGGAGTGGGGTCTAAAAAATGCGCATCACGAAAGGTGGGGTCAGGAAAAGAGACATACCAAATTTTGCGCCAGCGTGCTAGAAGAGGATGTTCCATGTTTAATGAAATTTAGAAAGGTAATGTTAATAATGGAGTCAAACCACTCCCTAACCTTTTTTCTTCCTATTCCCAGCTTCACGGAAGTGTAATAGTTCAACATAAAGATCTACTGGACACGGCTCGCTTACTACAGTCACAACATAACCACACATGGACACAGCTGCAGGATCTTATCAACCAGGGTCTTTGCTTGGTCGGATACTTCAAAAGCGCCGTTATATAATAAATTTATTGATCGGTTTCTTTGGTGGCAAGAGTGTTCACTTTCCTTCCTGCCAGCTCGGAAGGTTTTTTGAAAGAGCAACGTAAGAATTACCCTTATCTTCTCTGCTGAGGAAAACATGACAAGAGATGTCGCAATCTAACTAAGATGCAGGTAATGTTGTTACATAAGAATGATCGAGCACTTGGAGGCATCAAAACATTGTTTAGAGTCTAATTTTAGTGTATCATCATCTACCAGGTTCCAAGCAACGGTGCCCAGAGCAAAAAATAGTAAAAAAAAAAAAAAACAAACAAACAAAAAAACAAAAAAGAAAGAAAAGAAAAGAAATAAAACTAAAAATAATGACATCAGTCAGTGTTTTTGAATGGCTTTTATTTCTCTGCAGCAAACTATTTGCATTCAAAATAGTACATAGCTTCTCTGATAAAAAGTTAAAGGCCTAGTTCAGACTGCGAGCTGATCGGTAGGGTGGGTGTTGACTTGTAGAATATCATTTCCAAGTCATCTACAGCTTGAGCTATAAGGATGCTTTTGGAGTAAAAATAATACTATTCTCGAGAATACAATTCTTTCTAAGCACTAACGCGAACAATTTTGAAAGGTCCAGGCCAAGATTTTGGAATGGGTGTGGTGCCTGAGTATAAGGTTATATTAGGACCTTGTACTTATGCCTCCAAATCATTTGCCATTGCGACGTTGAGTAAAAGAATGGGTCGAGTTGGGTTTACATTGCTTTTTGGGGCTGTTATAGGGAACGAAATAGACGCCGTCATGGAAACAATCGCCATGATAATGCCAACTCGACACAGCCTTTTGCACACTAAGTGTAAACATCCGATCAGAAAAGCCTAGTTTTCACCCACAAATCCCTACGCATGCGCAAGAGAAAAGATAATGTCCGATCCTACGGTTTTTGCATTTGCAGCGAGCTTGCTTTGACAAGTTCAAACTGACTAGGCTTCAATAAAAGAACTGCTAAGCACATCATTGCGTCTTCACGGAAAAATGTACTCTTTTTTAGCGCCTTGCTAGAATTGCAAAGGTTATAGATATTTCAAACAAATAGCAAATAATCAATAGATCCTTTGTACTAAATCTCTACTTGGTGGTCAAAACAATCAAAAACATTAAAACAAAAATTCAATAGGACGTTTGCATGATGGCGTCACTGACCTCTACTACCAGACTCCCTTGCACACTTTCTTTTATTCAGTTAATTAGCACCAATTGTCTTACTATTCTCATAGGGAAATACAAATTTGAATATGAAAGAAAATTCGCGAAGCATTATGGTAGTGGGAGTCAAATGACGCCATCATGCAAACGTCCTATTTTCAAGAAAAGGGAGTACTTTTGTTTTAACCCCCAGAGTGGGAATTAGTGCAAGGGGTCTGTGGTAACGTTAAGATGACTTTATAAGTCAAGACTAACTGATACTCTTTAGAAAATTAAAGAATGCGTAGAAAAATATATCAAAATGAAGTTCTAAAACTAGACTCGCTATAAATAAATATAGCAAAAGGTTAAATAATAATCATGGTTTGCGACGTGGAATAGGAAAACAAAGATCTACGTTGCTCGAGTAGGAGCCCTGTGGTACGGCTGTGAAGGGCTACCGATCAATCACGACCCAGACCCCTGTCTGCTTACTGCGCATGCTCATCGAAGTGCCATTTTGTTGAGCATGCGCAGTAAGAATGACAGACAGAACTCAAGGGTCGGGAGTAGGCTTTCGATCTGAGCCAATCAGAAAGTACAAATGAACCTCACTATCTACGACGCAATATGGCTTCACTCCATATCTTTACTCCATATTCTGTATTTCCGCGACCCAGATAGCTCCAGATGGGTATCTTTTCTACTATTTTGATTCAGTAGCAAAGGCAAGACGACCAGGAATGAAATACCAACATGCGTTATTCCCTTTACGAACCGGTGCGCAACACTCAATAACGTAAAAACTCAGTTTTCCAACAATAAACGACCCATGCAAGATGAATCCCGGAAGTGCGCATCATAATGAAAAAGACGCAAAAAGAATCGGGCCAGATTTACGAAGATGCATGAAGAGGTGCTTCCCATTTCCATGCACGACCAGATTCAGGTAAGTTAGGTGAATGTGGACGACGCATAACGAGGGTTTGTCTTCCGTCTTCGCTTCGCTTCCTTAGGCATGTCATCCCAACTTGATAGGTTTGCTGTTTCAGTTGCGTTGGACTGAGGAAGGGATAACGATTTAATTTAAGAAGGTTGAAATTTGTGGAATTTAAAATTAATATACCGAGTCCGTTTTCTGAGATAATTAAATTCCGTCTCGGGTCAAAGCCAGCATGTGTTCATGTGTTCAACGCATCATTCAAACTAACAAGATCTACGCGTGACAAAACCCGTCAAGTACTTACCATTCTCTGGCGTACTTTAGCGGGTAGTTCTACGCCTTCTTTATACACATCTTCTCGCCGCACTCCCAAGAAAGATTCATCTTCAAACTTTATCTAGAAATTCATCGAAATAGTGTTGTAGACGTTAATCATAGTCGGCAAAAACACAATGTTTTCAAGGACACGTGCAGTACAACACTTGCTATTTCTCAGCCATCATCACACAGGGGCGTAGGCAAGGGGGGCGTAGCCAAGGGGGCTCCCCCCCCCATCCTCACGCTGTAGAAACCTAAACATCTGTAGTCACGTGATAAGTTCGACTTACTGATGTTATGAAAAAGTTTTTTGTTCCCCTCCCCTAAAGGAAGAATCCTGGCTACGCCCCTATCATATAAGACCTTTAAATACTCACCTGATAGGTCACAATTATTCGTCTACCATTTATTTTAGCCTTCCATAATGTATCGTCTTCCCATTTAATGGATATTACGGTGCCCTCGGGAATGTCATCTTGTCTGTCCTCGTATCCCTAGAAAAACACATTGATAAAACACAAGTAAAAAAACTATCCCGACATAAAACGAAGGTAGGCAGTCGCAAATATATAGTTGAGTCGGCGCATCTAACTTAGAAACCAATATGATGTACCTTAATATCTTTATGAGTAACTGGGGCAAAGCAAACTGACAATAAAGGCAACTTTCTACGCGCAAACATAAAACGAAGGCAGTCACAAATATGTAGTCGATTCTGCGCATCTAAACTATAAACCAATGTGACATACCTCGATACCTTTACGAGTAACCCTCGGGACGAAACACACTGACAAGTAAACCGGCAACTTTTTACGCGCATACATAAAACGAAGGTAGTCACAAATAAGAAATTAAGTCTGGGAGTCTAAACTATAAGCCATATACCTCGATATCTTTCGGGGTAACTGTATCACAAATAGAACCATCAGCGAACGACACCATGTAGAAATCCTCTGATGTCATGCTAATGACTTTTCCCTTGTAATATCTAGAAATAGGAGTGGAAATATATGATAGACAGCTATATCACACGTATTTGCCTTTAGGTCGTAAGGTAAAAAGTCGATGAGTGAATATATATTGATATAGATATATAATACTGTTTAAATATTTTCTTATAAGCTGATGATGATGACGATGAGGACGAGGATGATCACGATGGCAATGATGATGAAGATGATAATAACGACGAGGATGATGACGTCAACAATGATGACGATGATGGTGCTAATGATGATGAGGATGATGAACGTTCTTACTTGCATGGTGCACTAACTTACCTTCCATTTTTATGTTTTGCTATGACAGATTCTCCACAACTGATTTCAGAAAAATCTCGTTCTTTTGACTGATAGAAACAAATTAGAAACGCCTATTGAGCATCAAACATAGTCATGACGAAAACCTAAAGTAAAGCATGAAATTCATCGCTACAAGCAAAAGTAGAATAACGGCTCTGCTACTAAGATTTAGACTCGGTTAATAAGGCATAAAGCGTAAATGGGGCAAAGTAACCCCCGTTTAAGAGTGTTTCCAAATGATTGCAATGATTGAGTACACAGCAACTCTAAAGACAGCAAACCCAAAGACTGAAGTCAGGATGCCTCTCAACTGTCATCTCTGCTGTCCGGGTTTCTATTCCCAGTAGCCACATGTAATATGAAAGGATTGGTTCTGTTACTGACACCGCGGCCGGGTTTTCCGACTTTTCCGTTTTTCCGAATTTCCGGTCTTTCCGACTTTCCGGCGGGTTTTTCATCCCTCCTCTTGACCTCAAACTAACCCTAACTGATTCGAACTGGTTGGTTCTGTGTTCAAGTGTCCAACATGGAATGTATAGTGGCTGCCAGAGGCGCCTTCACATGCTTTCAGTTCCACCCCGTTGAGCTATGCCAACGCTTTACTTGCCGTGGTGACTAGCGATAAACACAGCTTTCTTTAAAATAGTACTGACTGCGGATGTTTTCACGTACTCTTTATCTGCCCTTACACTATTGAAATGCGACGTCTTTACTAACCTTAAATTTATTCCTACTATGTCTTTCGCAGTATGTTTCAACAGGTTGAGGCCAATCGCTAGGCTCGAGCTTATTTCCCGCCAAAATATAGCACGTCACGTGGTATGCTGTGGCGCACTTACCCGCACAGCATTGTACGCATGCGCTTTGAAGATCTGAGCTTACTGAACGACATATCGAACATTTCTGTAAAAAAAATAAAAAATAAACAAAACTAGATGAATTTAAAAAAAATAATAATAAATAATAATTTTTATGAAAATAGATTTTTCTTCATTGCTCTTTAGTGTCGTATTAATGTTGGGATTTTCCGATGGCGTCTTTTCGCCGTTAATCCACCTAAAGGACAAAGGGAGAGAGTAGGAGTACGTACCAGTTTTTTCCTGCCTTGAGGTACCTTGTCTGTATTAATGTCATTTCGATTACCGATGTCCTGAAATGCTACTTCAGGAATGGTCAGCGCACAGCCAATATGAGCCCATCTACATAGATAATCAATAATATCTTAGTAAATGAATCATTCGCAGGACGTCGGAGTATAATTTCCACACTAATACAATGAAAGAAGAATAGAGTAGTTTACCCCCCTAAAAACTCTTCTGACTCTGTTGACATCAGAGGCTGAGGTCCAACTGACCACCCCTCCCTGTAATACGGGAAGGGGTAGTGCTACATAGGTGGTGGGCGGGTAAACTGCTAACTAGCAATAAGGGATAGCAATAAGGGAGTATTGAAGTACCTGTTGTCTGTTGTTTTCTTCAAGGCTCCTCCACGAACACAGCATAAACAGCAATGCTAAAGAACAACGATGACAAAAGTTAAGAAAATATCGTCCCGATGGTGCAGGTTTCTTTCACACATTTTTGTTACCGCGGAAAATAAGTAGCACGATGAAAGTTATATAAATGGGAGCTTTAGATTGCTCATTTTCATCAATAGTTTATGCCAAAATGCCTAAAACCCCAAAAGGTCTCAATGCTGTGAAGAGCGCAGAAGCGTGAAGCAAAGGTCTAGGAGATGAAGAAGAAAAAACAAACAGTGCATACAGTAGCGCAGGAATTACGCCTATTCTACGCAAGCCAGACAACCAGTCCAAATTCCAGCTGTTTGGTTTACTGGCTTCTGTCAATCAAGGTTTCAAATGTCTTATTTAGTAACTATTTAGATTTATGAAATCTCCTGATAACAAACACGTCGCAAAGTGTGACAGTAGGTGTAAAACACGTACCGCAGATCTGATATCATCTTCGTCGTCTTGACGACATCTATCACACTTCCATGGTTTTTCTGAGGTCAGATTATCGGTTCCATAGCAACCTGAAGACAAAAGGCACCAAGGATCAATTCTCTCTTATATAACAGTCAGCCTCTTTAGTTATATCAATGTATTAATCGTTACTGAATTGGCTTAATTTATTAATGTTATCCCACATCATTAAAAATAAAGCCAATCAGAATGCAGGAAAGTTGTCGTATATTCGGCGGTATTGCATTGTTTATACCCACGAGGTATTGCGGTGTTTTTGATTTCTTGACTAAATGCCTAGATCGGTATTTCCAGGGATGTGGGATGAAATAGTTATACAATGCTTTCTCACTGCACATTATGGAATATCCCACTCTTCCCGGAATATCCCTGAAGGCTCGTGTGTATACTAGAAAATACTGACTCGTGGGATATCCCATGGTATACCACTTAGAACCGTTGAAGAACTAGCAATAGAACGTTTTCTCAAGGTTTGCGTGCGCTTCCAAATATAAGGAACTTGATGGGCCACAATACGAGTATTATCATGCATTGCTATGAAATGTTTTTCGATAAGAATTCATATAATTGATTATTCTCCTCTTTAAATATAACTGTCTTCTCAATTTTACTGAATTTGCTTTTTTCAGTTTTGTGGCCCGTCAAGTTGGATACGCACGCAATCTTGAGAAAACGGTCTATTTATAGCATATTTGATGATCTGCATACTTTCATGGACGACAACTCTACATGTCTCACAGCACAGTAAAGGACTTTCAGTATCGTTAGAAATCCGGTGATCAATCCACGATCCCATACTCTCCGGGCTTGAACCCTCCGACATGAAACAAATCTCCGGTAGGATAGGTTTGGAAGGCTTCAGCCAACTACGGGTGGTCGGGGATTCGGTTTTTGGTGAGTTTTCTGGTGATGATTTGATTCTTTTTGGTAGTTTTTCTTTAATGTGAGTTAAAATATCCTCCTAGGATAGAAAATAGACGAATGGATGAGTGAATGAATAAATGAATAAAAAATGAATGAATCGACGAATGAATGAAAGGATGGACGAAAGGTAGTTCTTCTTTAATGTGAGTTAAAATTTCCTCCTAGGATAGAAAATAGATGAATGAATGACTGAATGAATAAATGAATAAAAAATGAACGAATTAACGAATGAAAGAAAAGATAAAAGGATGGACAGATTAATGAATTACTGTACAAATGAAAATGAAAGACCAAGTAAACAGAAAAAAGAAAGAAAGGAACCAAGGAACAGAGGGAAGAAAGACAGGAAGCGAGTAACTAAACACGAAGGGATGAATCATAGTTTACCTTCAATTTGGCGAATAACTGACAGAGTGCACAGTAAGGTTCTAACTCGGCCATGATCATATTAAAAGCTTGTTCTGTTTTAAAGCAAGGTGACTGATGGTTCCATAGTCCTTCTAGGCCTTCAACAATGTGAGGTATAGCAATGGATCGCTTCTTGCTCGACGATGGGTGAACTAAAACATGCCATAATTATAATATTAGGATTCAGCCAAAATTTTAGCCAAAACAGCCAAAACATAATTATAATATTAGGATTTAGCCAAAATTTTAGGGGGGGGGGGGGGGGGGGCTATTTGAGTTTCTTCAGTCAAAAATATGAAAAAGCATCTAATTCTTCAGTTTTGTTTGGTTTTGGTTTTGTTTTCTGTTTTGCCTCAAGTAAAACATATAGTATAATATGCTCTAGATTAACCCAAATAGACATTTTTACGTGTCATTCCCTAGAGTATAATTTGCTTGTTTAACGGTTGCGCATGAAAAGACACATGAATATGGACAAAACTAAAACAAAGAATCTTATTCTCAAGAGAGATTCCTGTGAAATGACACATGGTCTGAGATGGGGAAAATTACCAAAGGTAAAGCGGATTAAAATGTAAATTTTTTGGGCCATAACGACTAAAACCTCTTAAGTTCAGATCTTACTAAGTCTTACCTACCTGGGTCTTTGTTTAGTTCTTCTAGCTTGCTCTGTGAGCTCGGTAGAGTAACAGACTTGGTCACTGGAGGCTGGCGCTTGGAATGACGTGGGGATACCACATCCTGACTTTTTCTAGCAGTTCTGTATAGAACATCAACACATTACTTAATAAGAGGAATAATGATAATAATAATGATGTGATTTTACAGTGGTTCGATAAAGTGGCCCTTCTTTCACTAAACTCCAATTGGAGTTTAGAAGTTGATTGTTGCGGAGAGAGGAAAGCCGTAGAACCTGGAGAAAAACCTTCGAAGCACATGAGGGAACCATCACGTACGTTCTGTATAGAATATCAAAACAGTATTGGGAATAATGATAATAATAATAATGTAATTTTACAGTGGTTCGACAGTGGCTCTTCTCAGAAAATGATTTTTGCGGAGGGAGGAAAAACGAAAAACCCTTAAAGCACAGGAGAAAGCAAACAAGCAACTTTACATACGTATACGACACAATTCGACTAATCTACTGCATAACGCAAGCTATTCTATACAAAGAGGTCATTGCATACCGCTTAGTTGGTCGACGGGAAGCTACAGGTTTCTTTTGACTTTTACTGGTTGTTTCGTTGTCGTCTTCACCGCTTTCATCTTCACTATCTTCCTCTTCACTCGAGCTTTCACTCTCGCTGTCGCTACCCTCTTCCTTCTTCTTTGCCGCAAGGTAGTCCTCCCATAGATCAGGCTATGAAAGTGTAACTATTATCATTAGCTATAGGCTCGGTTGTACAAAGGGTGGATAGCGCTATCCGCTGAATAAATCCTTATCCAGTAGACGAAATGATGCTGTTATCCAAAAACTTTATTCACTGGATAAGGATTTCTCTGTCGCATAGCGCTATCCACCCTTCGTGCAACTGCGCAATTCGGGCTACCTGTATTGGAGCGTTGAAGAAAGTAAGTAGTGAAACAAGATAAGGTAATTTCAAGTCTAGTACTTTTAACATACTATTTTGTGGGCTCCCTAGCTCAACGGTGAATTCGAACTAGTTAAATAATAAGTAATTAAACTCATATGCATATTGCGAATTTTGTGCGCGAGATCTTAATTTATACGACCTTATACCCGGCCAGTGTAACATTACGCGGGCACACTGCATGCGATCATAAACTTTATATGTGAAATGCGGCAATATCAATAAATGGCGACCTGGACGAGTAAAGTAACATGTTTACCTGGTACTTCTCTACAAATGCGTCCATGCAAATTTTTACTGAATCTTTTTTGCATTGGCACTGGAAAAAAAAAGTTCCAATTTACAATATTGTCAAGGGACTTGGTAGTTGTTGCAAAAATGTTTTGGCACTGATCCTGGTATATATCCTCCTCTATTAGAATTTGTGATATAAATAATACAAGTTATTACGAGTAAGAGCAGATTTCATGTGAGTAGAAAACCATGTTACCACGACTCTCAAACAGTTTTCTCTCTCTCATCACAGTAAAAAAGTGGGTATGTAGTTGCGCAAGTTGTCCTAGCTTCAGTTCAACCGATTTCGGGTTATTGTGAAGCGGACGCGTCGTGCTTTGCCGTGACCGTAACGGTGTCGTGTCCGAGCATTCTGATTGGATGGGCAGTATCCTCGCACGCTGCTATTGGTTCCATGGATATCATCAACCCGTGCCGTGACCGTGATTTTTTCACATTAACACAAAATCAAATCTGAAAGAAAAAGATGGTTAACTTACCACGTGAGCCTTCTTGCCAAAGTCTATCCATCGCTCTGAGGCAAAGTTTGTAGACTCTGCGCAATTAAAACCGTGATTAAACCCACAGTGATAGCCGTATGGAAATGTCACGATAAACTCTCCTGCTTCTTGCGTTACCTAGATGTAACGAAATCATGTTAAGTAATGATGTCACGTAATCGATAGTCTTCACCGTGTGAAAAATACGTCACGATAACCTGTCCTGTTAGTTCCGTTAACGATGAAATCAGAAAAATCTACCTTAATGAACCCCGCAATCCTGCAAATTTAAAATTCACAGACGAAATCACCTTATCAAAAGGAATGGAGAATTTCTTGAGAACTTGAGGTGAAATTATAGTCATCTTGTGGCGAAGGAAATTAGAACAACTTTGCCGACTTCCGGGGAAAAAACCTAAAAATAAAAAATAAGAAACAAAACAACGGATATTGTAAAAAGTGTTATATGAAGATTGGAATAAGTTCGTTGAAAGATATATTAGGAAATACACAAGATATGAGACAAACCTGCTGCGAGACGTTCAAGGCGCTGTCCATGTTCAGGAGGAATGGCGTACCTGAGACAGAAATAAAAATGAAATGCGCACTGCAATACGATGTGGTTACAACGGCTAAACAACCCAAAGACGTGCTTTATCAAGGAAAAGAACGGTTCTGCTTTGATCAAATTCATGGTTATCGTACCGAACATACGAGTATGAATCCGTAGATTTTTCCGCCCTCGTTACAATTTTTTCTTCTTCTTGTATCCCAATTTTTCATGACTAAAATGGCAAAACTATCCCATCAACAAACAACTATAAAATATCTATTTCTCAGATAGATCATTTGTACTTTATATCCGTCTATCTAACTCCAGTGTTATGTATACAGTTCCGGGTTTTTGGATGTTTCTGAATATCGAAATGCTCAGTGGGATGTGACGTCCCGCGACTTCGCCGCTAGTTCGCTGCTTGCGCTCGAGGAATTATCGCTTCGCTAGATTAAAAAACTCCAGCGGGAGAGGTCGAGTCATACCAAGTCTATCTGATAATCCAGCTCAGCAGTAAATGCGGCGCGAAAAGCAAAAGTGGACAAAATGACCGGCCCTTAGCATTTTTTGGATTCTTCCTTTCCATATTTTTGCTTCTGGTAGGCATGTACGTATATTAAAAAAAAAACAGAAAACAGAAAATTGCGCAAAATTTGGGTTACAGTAGACTGTGAATGAGGGCCAGCGGCAAAACAGCAAAACACGCTGTGATTGGCTGAAACAAATTCGCCGCGCTCAGATAGATGAAATTTAGCATTTTCATTCGAAAACTTAGGTAAGCTTCAGGTAATTAAAGCATCATAAGGCCTGTTTCTATGCAGCTCTACTCACCAAGTCTTGGGAGCTCCAAAGTGTACATAGTTAATACTGTACAAGTCCATATCTTCTGTATGCCAAGCAAAGGTTGCCTTCCACATACCAAAGTACAGGTATGGTGTGTTTACCCCCTCAACTTTGACACCATATTTGTCTTCAATTAGGTCAAGGATTGTGTTCAGTTTACTGATATTCCACTCTTTGACATCTTTGTCAAAGATTGACCCTGATATATCAGCGGCATAGATTGGGGCATTGAATGTCAGGTTTTTCCAGTATTTTCTCTCCAGTTCATCGTGGTCTGCATGTTTTGGTGGACGATACCTGGAAAGGAAACAGACATGTGAACAATGCATCAAGCATTAAAAATTGCCCTTATGCAAGAATTAGCATCCCTCCCTCAGTAGAAGCAACTACAGTTTTTCCCCAAAGGAGGGGATATATTAGAAAGTCCTGTCCCAATCAAGATTACAAGAGTCTGTAGTTATTCCAGATACTATAGCATTTAATGACCAGGTAAAAGGCATGATTGTCCAACATTTTGATGCTACTTTACACACCAGGGTGAAGAGAAGAGGGTGACTGTGAGCCTGACCTCTTGACCTCGAGGTTACAAGACCAATGCCCTGACCAATAGACCACTGTGTCTCTTGACCACAGCAATTATTTAAGGAGGGTAAAAGGTCTTACCCAAATGTGGGCAATAATACTTTAGCCCAGCTTTCTGACCTTACCAGGGGTGGCAGATCCAGGATGTTTTCTAGGGAGGGGGAGGGTTGGGTGGTGGGGGGTGCACCATCCAGGATTTTTGTTTTAGGAGGGGGTGCACCCTTTGCTTACAAAGTCAAACACCAATAATGCAGTAAATATCAGCTCATCTAGGGGGGAGGGGGATGCACTCTTCCCCTGCACCTCTTCTTTAGATCTGCCCCCGGTTACCTTTCACTGTTTGCCAATTTCTTGAATTCTTTGTAGGACAGCTTTTTCTTTTGAACATTGAAGAGCTGAAACAGACCTAGTGGACAAAACGCACAGCACATGAATAAACAATTCTGATCTTTATAACTTCTTTTTTGACTGAAGGGGGAGGGGTGAAGGACTATTTTGTTAATAGCTTTAAATGTCTATATTTTTTAGGGCTAGGTTGATGGGAAAAGTTTTAAAAAAAGTTAGGGTGGTTGGAGAAATGAAGGAAGGAAGTATGATAAACACATATGAAGAATTACTCATGACAAAATGTATATGAATATATATATAACGTTCATGCTAGTGAATTTCTTAATTATATTCAGAACATTTACATATATTTGTAATTTGATCTCAAAAGACAATCATTTCATTGAAATAGCGATTATTAACTCCTTAATCTCTGCTGAAAATGATTACCACAATCAAATTAATAAGCTATCCTGAACCAAAAAGAAAAACAATAAAGAGCTGATTTATATGAAGTACCTGTTCTGAAAGTAAATAAAACGATCACAAAGAATCATCTACCTCTTTCATATGACAGCTCACACTAAAACCATGTGGTAAGCAATTATGCTAGTTTGGGGATTGTGTCAGTTAGGTTAAAAGTTTGAAGGATAGAATAACACTTTTTGGTACCACAAACACCACACAAAACACCTATTCACAATATGGGTGGACAACTGTACATTTGATATTTTGATCCTCTGTTAATCAAAATAACAACCATATCTATACGCACATGGTTTTAGTTGTCTTTCATTTGACATATATGTAATATCTACTGATACATGAATACATAGATCATTTCAGGTACAAATATATAAGGCATCCATTTCAGAATTGAAAAAAAGCTATGAGCCATATCTGTTTTGTACAAATTTATGTAAAATATTCAATAAAGAACAATGTTATGCTTCAATTACAAGAAACTTCTTTGTTATAGGAAGTTTGTTTTTCTGCGTTATTTTCAAACATTGTCTTTTTCTCTAGAATAACCGAAGCCAATTTTTTTAAATTTTAATTACGAGACCCTACTTAATTTTAGTCCCACATTAAGTTGGATAAATTTATGCCAACAGATGAATGTATTAGTAAGTTCTGTGCTTCAACAAATCTTTAATATAAATGAAATCTGTGAACTTTATGGAAATGTTTAATTTATTTTCAACACATGCACTTGGAATTTTTGGAAGCATGGTTTTAAAAATGATTTAAGTTAAGCTTGATAAGTGAGTGCTTTTTTTATCTTGTCATATTTGTAATCCAGATTTCAAAAATGTCAAAGATGGCTTGAAATGTTTATAATAATATTATATATGCTCCAATGCAAGAGAATTGCAAAGTCTGAACAGTTTTAGAGGGTCGATAGTTATGTACATTTTAAGGATATTCATTCATAAATTCATTAAAATATTAATTTAAAAAAAAAATAGAAGTTCCGTAAAATATGAATTTATAGTAAAAAGTATTCCTATCACTTGTTAGGAAAACGTACTACACACCCTAACAGTAATATACATGTAAACTGTTCCATATTAAGCATTATATGCGGACCAAAACAAAGGTCCATAATCATCGTTATGGACCAGGGGATGCTTAGATTTTTTTAGCCTTAGAATGACCTCAAAATTGTTTACGTTTCCGAATTGGCAGGAAAACCAATGTTTTATCACTGGAAGAACCTGATTATTTGAGCCGCAAACTCTAAATTATCATCATTAACACATGTGACGGAAGTGAATAAGTTACCTTGGTGTAAGACCCAAGCACGTTCCCACACCGGCAATATTAAAACAAAGAAGTATTCAGTATTCACTTACTTTCCTAACCCTATCAAACAACTTAGCAAACTATAAATTTCGAGTTGATATGATAACAATGATAACAAATTCTGAATATTTTAACCTAAGTTTAAGAGAAATTCACTTAGACTTGAGTGTTTATAGCTTTGTATCTAAAACTTTAAAATCCTACATGCTCTTTTTTAAGCGTACGTACTTATATTGTATTCATAGATGAAAATATATCTTATAAATTAAGCTTCCGTGACTTAAGCCTTGCATTTTGAGAATATTTATCTTTACGATCCGGTAAACATCTTACTAAAAAATGCTGCAGAAAGCTTGGTAAGTTTAACTTTAAAGCTTAATTTCCACGACAATTTTTTGAAAGAAAAAACTCAAGATTATGGCTTAGATTTTCTTGCCTTGCGTCCCTGTAATGACTTGATGAATAGGGGCAGGAATTTCCACATCAACGGTACTATAATTTCTCCTCGGGATCCATCCTTTTGGAGGAATAATCTAACGAAAAATAAAAAGAAAGAGTAGTGTTTTGAGAGTTTCGTTGGTGAATAGTACAGAGTAGTACGTGACTAAAGTCATGCACTACTTTCAACTATGTCATGATCTTTAGTTTTGCTTCTAAATTCCAATAAATATAGCCACACAATTATCATATTTACCTTTGCTATTCCTGCTCGATGAGCGCCCTGTGACTCCATTTTACGAATATAATCTGAAAAATTGGCGAATTCAGCGCGTGTCGGACGGAAAACCATGATCTTATTTCCATCACAAGACATTTTACCCGGCTTTAAGCTGCTATAAAATCCGTATATTTGCGTCCAAATGAAAACTTATGAAAGAAACCAGTATTGATATAGCATTATTGATTGAGAACAACCCTCAGGTCTTAGTTTTTGGATCATTTTTAGGCCAAATTTTGGGTTGTGATGCACAGAAAATTTCTTTCTAGCCTGCTTGGTTTCTTTTGTTGGGAAGGTGCTTGATGTTGTGACATGCAATATGACAGCTGGACACGCCCCCTCATAGAATACCCTCACTCTTCCCCTGCTGGGGAATGTATAACCTCTCGCCAGGTGATCTTAAATTGAATGATATTAAAGCTTATGTTTACTACTATTTTGCCTTTTCAAAGGGAGTTTCTTGTTTATAATACAAGCTTTCTGTTTTGAATTCAGTAGGTTCTAATTTTAGAAACGCTAGACGTTGCTCTAGCTTATATATCTCGTCTTATCAATCTTGCATCTTAATAATAATATTTAAAATTAAAAAAAAAAGAAAATTTCTCGATAATAAATTCAAAAATAATGACAATTCTTTGTAGATTATTTTTGAAGAAAATAAAAAATCATATCTTGAATAATTTTGGGGTTTGTTAGTGTTGGGGCTCCTGTGTTATTGTAGGTCAAGTATCCTGGGTACAGGTAAACAGTACAGGTGACCATGCATCAAATCAAGAAAAATTCCGCTTAATTTTTCTAATTTTCCTCCAAAATTTCCTCCCTTTAGCTCGCCCTCCAGCTGTCTACCATGACAGAACAAGGAAAGGGAGAATTGGACAGCGTTGCAAGGTAAAGCAATGGAGTTTTCAGTCATATTTTCTATTTGTTTCACCAAAACAAGCTATCAAAGTTGAATAGCGTGAATAATGAAAACAATTAAAGTAAAACTTCATTTTGTTGTGCGAAAAAACTGAACTTTTTAACCCCAACTAATTCCAAGGGGCTCTAAAGCAGTTGTAGCATTTAAAGATACTTGAAATGATTGTAAATTTGAGTGAAAATAAGTTTAATTTTTTGTCAAAATTACAACCCAAAATATCAGCTGTCATTGTATCATTACGATATTATTGCTGTAAACAAATAAGCTTACATATCTATTTTAAAAATTATTCAACTGAAGATGCCCTAAAGTTGTTCCTTTTCGTTTGCCGTATTTCATGTTTACCCAATTTCTTTAACCCAAATTTTATCTTGCCCTGATCTAGTGATAATTAAAGTTGATAATAACATTATTTAACCACAAATAACATGTTAGACTACGAGGATATTTTTCGTTGTTTAGAATTAGATCATTAAATTTAAGGTAATTTATTCATCTACATATGATTGAAATAACAAATATTGCTATTATATTCTTGGGGTTTCATAGTAAGGGCTAGTATAACGTTTGGATCATTGGCTCAATCAAATTTCAAAATTATATAACTTGAAGATACTTGAGTTTTCTCACTGTGTACACATTTATTTATTATAATGTTTAAATGTTATCTTGCAAAAAATATTACAATTTGCATGAGCTTTTGTCATGTTTGACATATTCCCCTCATGCTACTTGGAGTTTTCATTTTTGCTACAGGAAAAGTAGAACTGGCTTTTACTTTCTGCAACTATTTTTGGAAAAATGGTTGAGCACACAAGCCAATCATTCATTCATTGATTCAAGTAATTGGAATCAATGAATGAATGATTAGCTTTTTGAATCAATGAATGAATGATTGGCTTGTGCGCTCAACCATGTCCATCTAAATTTTTTTTTAAATTGTTGTAGAAAGTAAAAGCGAATTGCAACCAATATTTTTGTGTGACATTGTCTGGTGCAACCTGCAACAATTTTTTTTGCGATGTGAGAAGTTGCATGAAATATGTTTTGTGTGGTATAGCTTTACTATATTGCAATTATATTTAGAGAAATTTGTATAATATTTTGCCATGAAGATGAATAGATTAAAGGGGTACTTCTTATTGAAGTCACCAGGAAATCAATCAAAACGAAAAGAAAAAATTCCTGCTCTTGTTTATTCAATAGTGTTATTATTTGATGCTTTTCTGTTTGTAGTTGTTCAAGTAAAAGTGATGAAAAAGCTCTACCAGATGCTATTCGCACCACAGCTGTTGCAATCAATCTTTGTCTGTCAAATAAGTTTTACAAAGCACAAAGGATGCTAGAGCCATTGTAAGTTAAGCTGAGTGTAATTTATATTGTGTGTACTGTTCAAAAGCAATCATGCTACCTGCACTATTTACAAGGAACGAGCTTGAAATAGCAGGCTGCCAATTGCCGAATTTCACTAATGCTAGGAGAAAATAATTTTTTAAAATGGAAAATAGAGGTGTAGTGTTTGTGTGTTCACCTCTTACCTGTGGGGCATCAAATATGATTCCGAGACTTGGCATCACATGCAAGTAGATCTTGTCAAGTCTCTTCCTTGATTTAAGGGTTTTCTCCTCTGTTCTCCACTTTCTCTCCCTCTCCAAAGCCTAAACAAGCTAAATTTGATGTGAAAAGCTTTGCCCTGATTTGATCAATTATGCATGGCCCAGTTGTATGAAGAGTGGATTGTGCTATGGATGGATAAATTTTATCCAGTGGATAAATTTATTGGGTAACAGCCTTGACTTATCTACTGGATAAGAATTTATCTGTCAGATAGCGCTATCCACTCTTCGCATGACCAGGCTCTGATAGCACTATCCACCCTACATACAATCAGACCCAGTTTTAGGGCTGATAAACATTGAAATGTTTAAAGAAAACAATATGTGTGGCTAGTCAGTGATTTTTTAGTAATGGCCTCTTGTATTCCAGGGCTAAAGAAAGTATGTATCATGCTCTTGGTTATGGTACAATCATGTACCTTCAGGCTGTCATGACCTTTGAACCTGTGAGTAAAGACCCTTTTTCTGAGATGTGTCTAGCATGGTCATCAAGTTGAATCTGAGAATTTGTATTTTAATTTCAGCAAGCCATAGAACAGGCATGTGAAAGTATCAAGGTTGCAATGGATGTGTGCGACAAGTATGTATATAATACTAATAAGATGTAATATATGTTCAACGCATGCTACCGTATTTAATATCCTAATTATTATTCTTTTGCACCCTGTGGTGGGGGCCACAAGTTTATAAGTGTTATCACTTTTTAGTGTTTACCCTCTTTAAATAAAGTCTATCTATCTATCTATCTATCTATCTATCTATCTATCTATCTATCTATCTATCTATCTATCTATCTATCTATCTACCCTACCAACCTCACAACTCTATCCTCAACTTTCCATACTACCATAATTTCCATTACTTTTACTCTTACTTATCTTACCAACCATTCTCTTCTTCCAGCCTTCCATACTTCCATTCATTCTCCCAACCTCCATTAATCTTATTCAATTTTCAAACCTTTGCTTTCTTCCAATCTCCCATACTCCTATTTCATTCCCCTAACACCTCCCATACTTTCATTCCTTTTCCTTTACATTCATCTAATTTTTGAACCATTCCCTTTTTCCAATCTCTCATTCCATTTTCCCTGACCTGCCATAATTCCATTCCTTTTACCATACTCTTTTCTCCCATTCAATTTTCAAAACATTTTCTTCTTTCAATCTCCAATCCCATTCCATTTCCCCAAACCTTCCACTCCACCATTCCCTTTTCCAAACCTCACACACTTCAATTCCTTAAACTCCCAGCCTCCTTCTTTCATTTGCTTTTCCAACCATTACCTTCTTCTAATCTCTCTTTCCACTTCCCTCAACCTCCCACACTTCAATTCCTTTCTCTCCGGCATACCATTTTTTTATTCCCTTCCTTCCTTCAATCCCCCATACCCATACCCATACCCATACCCCATACACATACCCCATACCCCATACCCCATACCCCATACCCCATACCCCATACTCCATTACCCATACCCCAATCTCCATCAACCCACTTAATCCAATCCCTCACGCCTAAGACTGATAGTTCCATACACTAAATACTGTAACATCTATTTGTTTGATGCAGACAAAGATATAAACAAAGCTGGTCAGAGTCACTGAGCAGCTGGATCTGGAACCCTTCTTATGAAGGTATTACTGAAGAAGAAAGGCATGCTGAACTCTGTTATGCAGAGTGCTTATTACAAAGAGCCTTACTTACATTTATACAGGTATAGTAGTCTCCTCTCTTCTCCTCTCCTCAACTTCACTCCCCTCCTTATTTCTCCTCTCCTCTTCTTCCCTTGCCTCTCCTCTCCTTCCCTCTCCTTCCCTCTCCTTCCCTCTCCTTTTCTCTCCTTCCCTGTCCTTCCCTGTCCTTCCCTGTCCTTCCCTGTCCTTCCCTCCTTCCCTCTCCTTTTTCTCTTTAAATTCTCTTTCTTCCCGAATCTCCCCTCTTTTATACTCCTCTCTTTACCTCCCTCCCCTTTCATTCAATCAGATCTCATTCCCTATTCCCCACTTTTCCCTTTCGACTTTTACCCATTATCACCCCTAATTCCCACTCCTCCTATCCTCTCTCCTCTCTTTCCCATCATTCTCTTCTGTTCCATCTTCCCACTCCTTAATATATTGACAAAGTATTCTCTCATTTTTAGACTATTCAACCATTTTTTTTTATCCTTTTCTTTTGTAGGATGAAAATCTTATCAGTTTTATAAAAGGAGCTCTTAAAATCAAAGCTTGTTACAACTCTTATAAGTAGGTGTTGGGCTGTTTTGATTAACAAAATATATTTTTCTGCGTGTCAGCGTCTTACTGGTTCAGATGCCGGCCTCTCCTTTGACTGCTACTTCTTTGGGGCTGCCTGTGCTTGTCATGAGAAGAGTGGTCAAAGTAGCCTGGACCTGTGTCTCGCCATATCTCTGTCTGCCTACCTTTTTGTTTATAGTTCTCTGTGTATTCTGTGCAGGGTTCGTGCTACTCCTTAAACTCCTTGAAAACACGTGAAAAGTTCTTGAATTTTAGGATTTTAGCAAAACTCCTTGAAAACTCCTTGAATTTTTGCTTTGATCATTACTTGCATGGTTCTGAAAAAGATCTAGTCAGAAAGATTGGAAAATCTGAAAGTTGGCCATGTGCAACCACCATGTAAAACCTTGGCATAGTTGGATTAACATACTCCTTGAGTCCTTGTATACTTTTGAATAGTCCTTGAATTTTAAGTGGCTACCTCAGCATGAACCCTGTCTGTATGTTGGATTATTAATATTTTTTTGAATATGGTTTTGTCTCAGGACGTGTTTCAATATGGTCATGAATGAACCAGAAGGTCTTCAGAAATCACCTCAGAGAAAAGACTTTGAAGGAGGTGTTCACCTTGGAATTGGTAGCTTCAATCTGGTTAGTTCTACAAAAATGCACACTGGTATATTTGGTCATTCACTTGGCGAGTTGGTCATTCATTCAGTCACTCAATCACACAGTCAGTCAGTCACCCAGTCACTCACCCACCTAGTCACTCGCTTATCTATACATCCTTCCATCCATCCATCCATCCATCTATCCATCCA